GGAGCGGCTCGGGTCGGAGGGTGAGGCAGGGGACCGTGCTCGGAGTGCTCAGGCCGAGGAGACTCGGATGACGCCCAGGGGCTGAGACAGCTGAGGACAGGGGCCCAGCGTTGAAAGTCCTGTGGGGGCGCTTGCTGGGACAAGGGGTGCAGCGTGACACAAGGGCTGCGCTCCTCGCTATGGAGACGGGTGAAGCAGGCCAGGACCCAGAGTGGACAGGTGGATAGGCCTCACCGATGCGGCGCAGCCGGTCCACGGCCACGGTCTCAAAAGCCCGGCGCATCATGGGGAACTCCTCGAGGACGGCGTTGAAGTGGTCCACGCTGAGGGAGTAGAGGCGGCAGTAGGTGTCAGCCCGCACACTGGCCGTGCGCCGGCCCCGAGTCAGCAGGCAGATCTCTGCGGAAGTTGGGAGGGGGCAGCAGCTGACCCACCGTGCCCAGACTCCTCCTAGGCTCAGAGAACCCAGTGCTGACCCTGCCCCCATGATGAGTCCCGAAATGCTCCAGGTATCCAGGTACCCTAACCCACCAGACTTTCACAACTCCTGTGCAACTCTCCTTGTCTTTACTCTCTTACTAAAATTGACAAACATAGGGCCGGGGATTTAGCTCAGTGGTTCCGCCGCCTGCCTTGCAAGTGCAAGGACCCGAGTTCGATCCCCGGCACCCACCCCTCAAAATAAATAAATAAATAAATAAATTGACAAACATAGCCAGGCACGGTGGCGCACGCCTGTAATCCCAGCACTCAGGATGCTGAGGCAGGAGGATCGCTGTGAGTTCAAGGCCAGCCTGGGCTACATAGTGCATTTAAGGGCAGCCTAGACTGCATAGCAAGACCCGTCTCAAAAAGCCAAAAGAGGACAGGGATTTGGCTCAAGTGGTTCTGCTGCCTGCTTTACAAGTGCAAGGTCCTGAGTTTGATCCCTGGTACCAAAAAAAAAAAAAAAAAAAAGTCAAAAGAATAAAAAAGGTGAACAAGCAGGTCCTGCTGGCTGCAACCCCACTGCCATCCCCTCAGCTGGGTACTCACCCTGTGTACCCACCCCACAAGGAGGACCAAGGACAGTGGAGAAAAACAGTGCCAAAGAGGGGAGGACAAAATGCACTGGATGGAGGCGCTGGAGGGCTCATCTTGGGACTGAGAGCTCCCATGAGACTCAGTCACTTTGGGCACCAGCTTCAGAGCCCCCAAATTGTGCTGCCAGGCAAACTCACAAAGCTCAAGGTCCTGGGACAGCTCTACTTCATCCTTATCTTCCCTAAATGCACAGGACTCTTGGTGTCCCTGGTTCAGAGCCCACAATGTGTGCTGGAATCTCCTGATTTAAAAACTACAGACCTGGGCTGAGGCACGAAGTGTGTGTGCAGCACAGGGGGGTTGGGCCCTGATCCCAGGGAGCAGTTGCCCGCCACCCTCCCTGAGGCCTGCTGACCCCCAAAGTAGGATCCGTCGGTCAGGCGGGTGTCCCGGACGCCTCGCGCCAGCACGCTGAGCAGCCCGTGCTGGATGAAGTACATCTTCCTGCCCACAGAGCCTTCACGCACCACGAGGTCCCCTGGCTGGAAGACCTCAAAGCGTAGCTTCGTGAGAACTGCTGTGACAAAGCTGGGGTCGGCGTGGGCAAACAGCGGCATGTGGGCCACCAGGCCCCGGCAGGTGAAGTTAATGATCTCCTGAGCAGATGAGGGGCCTGTCAGACAGGCTGGCCCTGCTCCCAGAGCCCCCACCAATCCATCTGCTTCCAGAAGCTCCACCCCCCGGGGCCAGGTCTGCCAGAGAAGGGTGCTGCTGTAGCCTGGACCCCCCGAACCCTGTCTTCAGAGCCCTCCCAGGCGGAAACCCTGGGTTTCCATCTTCCATGAATCCTTCAGCCTCTTAAATACTTGAGAAAGACTTCAGCCCATAAAATACCTGGCCTCCCCTCTGCAAGTCCCCTCCCTACAGCAGCATCTGCTGACAAACACCCCTCTCTAGACAGCATGCCGGAAGGAGCCCTGCAGAGCCCCTCAGGGCCCAGCCAGCCCACCTCCCGCAGGGGCTCGCTCAGCTCCCCCAGGATGCTCTCCTCGTTGAACATCTTGCCCTGGTAGCGGTGCTCATAATACTCATGGATGCGCTGCCGGGTGTCAGCTGGAAGCTTGTGGAAGGACATGTACTGCTCCACCTGCTTGTACTGCAGAGCCGACCATGGCCAGCGGGAAGAGGACATGGATGTGGAAGGTCACAGGTCAGACCCAGACAGGTCCCGCATGGAGCCAGATGTGGGTGTGGACTCACAGAGGACATGTGAAAGATGGCAGACACAGAGACGACACAGTGCAGTGACAGGAAAATGCAGATACAGGCAGAGCAGGGGTCCAAGGACAGTGGCAAGTAAAAGGACACAGGAGGCACGGCAGGGAAGGACACAGAGACCGACAGGAGAATATGTGCGAATAGGCCTTGAGTCTAGCACCTCCCCACCCACCCTTTGCTCTCCTGTCCCTGCTGACCTTCTCCTGGTATTGACGCCGGGAAGAGTCCAGGGACTGGATGAGGGCGGTGGCGTGGCCGATGAACATGGCGTAGCAGGTGGCACCCACGACCATGCTGAGCATGGTGAGCCAGACGTCGGGCGTGCCCACGGGCGCCTGCTGCCCATAGCCAATGCACAGCATGTGGCTCATGGCCTTGAACAGGGCGTGGGAGTACTGGCGGCCCCACGAGTGGTTCTGGGGGGGCAGAGCATATGGCAAAGATGGGCACGGGTCCTTTGGAACTGTGCTCCGCACCTGCCCTTTCTCCCACTTGCAGCTCTGCCTACCCCTTCTGCCTTAAACCCTCCTCCTAGGTGACACCTGTTTGGTTCTGGGTCCCCAAGCAAAAGACTGGAGACCGGGCCTGGGCTTTTGCTCAGGTCTCTTTCCTTGCCTGTTTCCTCCAGCATAGGGATACTCCTGTGTTTCCTGCACTTCTCCCTCCTCCCCACCTGCCCCATCTTCTTTCCTGGCCCTCTCCCACCTCCTGCTCCCAGGTGCTCAGGCAGCAGAGCCCTCAGAGCACCCGAGATGGCAGAGCTGTGGGCTCTTCTCACCACCATGCGGTTCATGGAGACCCAGCAGTCGGGCGGGAAGTCCTGCAGCATGGGGACCAGGAACTGCAGACAGCCGTCCCAGTGGCAGAGCAGCAGCATCATCCCAATGAGGTTGAAGATGCGGACCACAGCGCTGGCCAGGTCGTAGGTCATGTGGAAGATCTGAGGAGTCCGAGGAGGGGCTGCTGTGGACAGGAACCCTCCCTGCTGCTCTCCTCCAGTCCCAGCTCTGCAAATTCTCTTTGAACTTCTCCCTTGCCCTAGCCTCCCTGAATTAAAAAAATTGTGGCCATTATTTGTTTGTATAACTTCATAGCACGCATATATAGCTAACACAAGACAGGCTGTGCTGCAAACTCATTGTGTGTGTATGTGTGGTGCTGGAGACTGAGCTGGGGCCTTGCACATGTTGCACATGCCTGGAAAACACTCCTCCACTGAGCTGCATCTCCAGCTTTTTTTGTGTGTGTGTGTGTGTTCCTGGGGACCAAACTTGGGCCCCTGCACTTGTGAGGCAGGCAGCAGAACCACTGAGCTAAATCCCTGGCCCCCAGCCCTATTTTGAGGCAGGGTCTCACTAAGTTGCTCAGGCTGGCCTTGAACTGTGACTCTCCTGCCTCAGCTGTCTGATTCACTGGGATCACAGGTGCGCACTCCATGCCTAACCTTTATTACTCTCATATGTTATCTCTTCTAGATAGGAAAACTGAGGCCTATCATATGCCCAGAATTACATCAATATCAGGGCGGAGATTGAAATCAGTCCATTGCACAAGTAGCTCAGGTGCAAACTGGACAAAAGGGGCATTTCACTGTAATGTCTCCAGGACACATGTATGAAGATTAATGATCACTTCCTTTCCAAGGACAACAGTAAAAACAACAGGTGATTTATCAAGAATTTACTATGTGCTGCTGATAAGTGAATCCAGGGCTTTCCCACTGAGCTATAGCCCCATCCCTTTTTATTTTGAGACAGGGTCTTGCGATGTCACTAAATTGCACAGCCTGGGCTTGAACTTGTGGCCCTCCTGTCTTAGCCTCCCAGAGTGCTGGGACTGAAGGCGCTGGGCACTGTGCCACCACACCTGGCCCAGACACTTTTCTGAGTACCTTACATGTATTAGCTCCTTTGATTCTTACAACCAAATCATATCACCTCACCTTAAAGAGGAAACCAGGCCTCTCACCTATTAGTGAATAATAAATCTGGGATGTGACCATGGGCAATAAGATCTGGGAGCCTCTATCCTGAACCACTTAACTCTTTTTTTTTTTTTTTTTTTAAAATGGTACCGAGGATCAAACTCGGGACCTTGTGCTTGCAAGGCAGGAAGTGGAACCACTGAGCTAAATCCCAGGCCCTAGAACCACTCAACTCTTATCTGAGCCTGCAGCTCCGGCCTTCTCTGTACCTTGGCTTCCACCCGGCGTTCACTGGGCTGCCAAGGGTGTGTGTGGCTGCTGGGTTCTACCCTCCTGCCCTGTCCCCACTGAAATCCTCATGGTCCAGACCTTATTCTGTCCCTACTTCTTCACCAATTTTGGGAAGAACTCACCCATGCCCCCCCAACGCCCTGCCCTATAAGGTCACCAGGAGCCCCACCCACAGTGAGCCCCAGGCCGCCTCCTGCCCCACCTCCTCCCACTGGTGTATATAACGGATGAGGCGGGAGAGGCGGAGAAGCCGCAGCAGACTGAGGATCTTGGTGAAGCGCACAATGCGCAGGGCCCGAGCCGTTTTGTAGACCTCAGCGTCCAGCCGGGGCTCCAGCTCCACCACCAGGAAGATGTAATCCACGGGGATGGAGGAGATGAAGTCCACCAGGAACCAGGTGCGCAGGTAGCGCGTGCGGATGGCCCGAGGTGCCAGCAGGATCTCAGAGCCCTCCTCTACCACGATGCCTGTGCGGAAGTTGAGCACCAGATCCAGCAGGAAGAAAGTGTCGGAGAGGACATTGAAGACGATCCAGGGGGGAGAGTTCTCTTCTTTGAAGAAGGTGATGCCCACTGGCAGTACAATGAGGTTCCCCACCATCAGCAGAAGCATGATCAGGTCCCAGTAGAACCTAGGGTGGGAGCAGGATGGTGAGTTAGGCCGCGGTGAGAGCTCACCCGCTGCTACACTGACAGCGCTAGTCTGGCGGGGCCAGGAGGGGCCGAGAGCACAGGATGACAGAAGGACCACTCAGCCACTGGCACTGACAAGGGGCCACTACCTGGGAAGTCAGTTCAGCATAATTTGGTAAAGTCTAACATCTGCATTTCCTGAGCAGCGATATCCCATTCCTAGGTGTGTTCCTGCCCAAGGGAAACCAAGGCTCCAGGAGAAACGTCTGGGAGTGCTTACAGCAGGTTAAGTTTGGGAACAACTCAAATGTCCAGTAGTAGAAAATGTAAATAAATAAATAAGACAAGTGCCTTGGCGCGGTGGCACACGCCTGTAATCCCAGCACTGTGCGAGTCTGGGGCAGAAGATTCCAAGTTTGAGCCCAGCCTGGACAATTCAGCAATTTACTAAGACAGAGAGCTGTCACGTGATTACATGATCCTTACTATATGAGATTTATGTATCGTTCTTAAGGTTTTTTTTTTTAAATTTAAGGATAAAGTGCCCTAGGCTAATTACACAGGGTTGTTGGAAAATTTCCACCAAGACAGTGGATATGACAATGCTGTAGGGCCTTAGCTGGTGTTATGACTCACCCGCCCTCATGTGCAGACCTCTGAAAAGGTTGCTGCTCCTCTCCACCCCTGGTCTCGGTCTCCAAGTACTCCTGGCCTCGCCCACCCAGGCCCCCTCCCCAGCACAGCTGGACGCTGGAATCCTGCTCGTGAGAACCGCCAGCCCATCCCTGTCCAGGCTGCGGAGGGCCGTCCTGCCTCCCTTCTGAGCTTTCCAAGGACGGCCCTCCCCTCGTAGTATGAGGGGCGCAGCACACACTGGGGCGCTCCCTGGGGCTCCGCCCCTTTCCCTCCCCGACCTCAGGGTGCCCACTCCTCTGGCTGAGCCAGGCAAGGGCAGGCGCGGGGGAGACTGTGCGGCTCTGGCAAAAGCCGTGAAGAGGTCGGGGCAGCCGGAGGGAGCCTGCATTCAGACACAAAGCTCTGGATAATCTGAGGGACTCAATTTCCCACAGCGATTTTAGTCTTAGGACGCATCTAATCCCAGCCTGAGCAGGGTGCAGCCCCTTCCGACAGTGCCTGCCCAACCAATTCTTGAAGCCCCTCAAAGGTTCTCTGTGGTTCCCAAATCCAGGCTCCAGGAAGCCCCCCAGACTGCGAGCTTTCGTCCAGCAGCAGCCCCTCGGCCTGCGGTACCCGGGCTGCGAGGAAGATCCTGGGTGGCCTGGCCAGCCCGGCTCGCAGCGGTCACAAGCCCAACAGGAGACGCAGGGGAGGGATGCGAAGCAGCGCCGGCGGCGAAGGGGCTCAGGGTGTGTGTGAGGGCGCCACGGGAGGGCGAACAGGCGCGCGTGAGGTGGGAGCCGGAACGAGGCGAAGAACAATGGGCGGGGAGGGACGTTTCGGGAGAGTCTGGGCTCGAGACGATGCCTGCTCTCCGCTCGAGCTTCCAGCCGGACTCACTCCTCGCCCGCTCCTCTCCTCCAACGAAGCCTGCGCTTCACTCAAGCGCAGGGCCGCGCTCCTCCCGCGCGACCTGGCCGTG